CCCCCCCCGGGACCACCAACAGTCGGATGGTTCCGGGCATGCAGATCCACATTTCAGTAAACATGGAACCATGTTTATTAAAACCTTTGTCAGGCTGCATTTGATGTATGGTGTGCAGTTTTGGTTGCCACATGACCAGAAGATGTGAAGGTTTTAGACACAGTACAGAGAAGGTTCACCAGGATGTTGCCTGGTCTTGGGGGGCATTGGCTATGAGGAAAGATTCAAAATGCGAGGATTCCTTCACTAGAAAGATGGAAGCTGAGAGGAGACCTGATAGAGGTCTACAAATTTGAGGCATAGATAGGCTGGATAGTCAGAGGCTGCTTCATAGTATTGAAGCCTCAGTTATGAGGGGACACCAGTTCAAGGTGAGAGGGGGAAAGTTGAAGGGAGATGAGAAGTTTCTATGCAGAGTGGTAGGAGCCCGGAACATGCTGCCAGAGGAGTTGGTGGAAGTGAGCATGGTGACTTAGAGCCATCTAGATGGTTACATGCATAGAGATGGAATAGGATACAGACAAAAAGCGAAAGATTTTGTTTTTAGATTAGTTAGGGCATGATTGGCATAGGCTTGGAGGGCCAAAAGGCCTGTTCCTGTGCTATACTTCTTTTGGTTTTTGGGTTTTTTTTCCAAAACTGACACTGAATTCACTTCTGATATCCTGGTTTAGTTTCTGCAATGTTCATTCTCCAAATAGTCTAAACTTTTTAAGGTGCTAGATATTTGCTTGATCTGACCATGAAGACCTCAGGACATCACAGGGTTCTGTACTCGTGCATGGTTGGTTGATAGCTGATGCACTATGCTTATAGTTCAACCCAATCTGTCTTTCAGAAACTTCTCATTCAGAGCATGCATCACTTGGGTTTTAATGTTCAAATTCTCTTGTCTGAATTCCAACTGAATAGAGAAGCAAAACTGTTAATCATTTTCTACCAACTAGAAACTTATTGTGGTTTTTATTTGGAAAGTTACTTTTTTCACTCCAAGTAACTTCATATTTGGGTCTGGACGCTGATCATGCATGAGCATGCATCATGCCTTGATATGAAACCTCCAAATCTGAGTTTCTTAAAGAAAATGCCCATCAAGTGTTGTTTTTTTTTTTTTTCCCCCCACCCCCTGCACTGTCACAGGAGTATTTCATGAGTGTTTGGAAGAAGTGAGTCTTGCTTCACTCTTCAATTACTATTTCCAGATTATGCATGACTGACTGACTTTTTTTAAATTTCATACCTGAAGTTAATGGCTGCCCTCTGACTCTGGTTGCAGAGGCAAAATGTGACGTGGATGCTGAGAGCAAAATAATTCCAGTATTAGTGGGAATCGCTTTGGCAGGATTGATCCTAACTGTGATCATTATGTATACAATTGATAGAAGACGGACATCTCAAGGATATGAAGCTGTTAAAGGCTGAATAAATTCAGCAAGATCATTAAATGTGTTGAAATGGACACAAGATTCTGTTGCTTGCTTTCTATGTATTGCAATTTGAAAAATTTGGCTTTATTTCACCAACACTAGTAAATTATGTACAACATTAAAATGTTTTAAGGGGAAAAACTGTCTGTAAATATCTTTCCAAAGCTATTGACCAAAAGTAGTAACTGTTGGACCAGATGTATAACTGAGCTTCTGTGCAGATTCTTTAAGGTGTTGTGCTTGCTTATCTCTAAACACACAAGTACATTTTTAAAATAAAGCATTCTAACACTTGTGTAGAAATTTTCTACAGATTTGGTTTTTTAAGCTTGTTAAATCCATATTGTATCATAACCAAACCCCAGTTAAGTCACTTTGTCTTAAAACTAGCACAAGTCAACTTCAAAAAGGTAATCTGAGTTGCCCGTCTCCTAACTCTCTTTGATGCCTTACCCATTTCTGTCTGTATTTCAGAGCCCAGCAAACGTTGGAAATCTGAAATATTCAGCAGTTAAGATAGCATTTTGAAAGAAGCTGACAATACCTCACTTTTTAAAATATCCTAATATAGGACATAGTTGCAGGCAAAACTTTTTTCCCTTTCATCACAATTCTGCATTGTAACTTTAACCAGAACTGGCTATGTCTGCGTACAGCTCAATGATTTCTTCATGGAGGCATTGCCATTATCCTTGCATTTCCTTTTGCCTTTATCACGAGAAGCTAATTTTCTATTTAAGGAGATAAAATTGCTCCTTTTGACTGTAGTGCTTAAACATGTTGAGCCACTCCTGATTAGTCAGTTGTTGATTATTTATTTTTGAACATGCATGGGCAGTAAACAATTGCCAACACAACCTTTTTAGTTCTGCAGCTTGTGTGGTGGTTGTCAGTTACATCTCTGCTCTATAGAGTTGTGGCTATTATCCACATCCCCAAAGGAACACAACTGCTCAAGTGCCAATTACTTCATTAAATAGTGACCTTTTTTTTCTTTTAAAAAAAAGTCATAACCAGTGGGGGTAGGAAACAGAACAAGATGTAGAGCTGGATGAATACAGCAGGCCAAGCAGTATCAGAGGAGCAGGAAAGCTGACATCTCGGGCCTAGACCCTTCAGAAATGGGGAAGGGGGTTCTGAAATAAATAGGGAGAGAGGGGGAGGCGGATAGAGGAGAAGATAGGTGGTGAGGAGACAGACAGGTCAAAGAGGCAGGGATGGCGCCAGTAAACGTGAGCGTAGGGAGG